TCGGGACATGAATTTTGGGGGAACACTTCTCAGCCTAAAACAGTGAATAGAGTGGGGTAAAGACGTACCATAAGTTTTACATTTTAGAATACCAGTCTTGGGTCAGAGTGAAGAATGAATTGGAGGAGAGTGTTTGTGGATGCAGATGGATTGGGTTATTTCAGTAGTGTATGCAAGAGATGAATGTAGCTTGAATTTGGTTGTGCTTATAGACAGGGAGAGAAATGAATAGAAATGAGAGATTTTAGCAGATAAAAATCATAATTTGGCAGTGGTTGGTTCATGGAGTCTGAGGGAGGGTGGTATCAAGGATATCTCCCTGGTTTATGGCTTGCATGATTTATTATTTGATGGTGTTATTTTCCAAGGTAAAGAACACTAGAAGATAACTAGGATTGGGGATGGAGTAACAGGAGATCCCAATTTCACATCTGGATATAGTGATTCTAATGTATCTTTTAGATTTCCAAAGGCCTTTTAAAGTAGGTATTTGGATTATGGCATTGTAAAGAAAATCAAGAGAAAGGAAAAAATATTTTTGAAAGTTTGCACATTGATGTTTTGTACAGATGTCCGCCACAGTAATCCCTTTGGATTACAGGTATAGTTTTAATTGTTACCGCTAGTTGTGGGAGTGAAATGATGATTAACTCACAAAGCCCAGTAGAACAAATTTTACTTCATCCTACAGGGAATCCTTTGGAAGTATAGAGAGAATATCTTTCTCGCCTTTTCCTTTGTTTTTTAAAGAACAAGTTCAGAAATAGAAGTAATAAATGTTCTCTCTATTCATTTTGGATTTACTGATGAAAATCAGTGTGTAAGTAATCACTGCCTCATTTCTGCATTTTCTGTTTTATGTCAGAAAAGTATTACTTTCCAGTTTCCCAGTGTTTTTGTGGGAACTGGGTGAGAGTGCAGTGGTTTCTACAATTTCTATTACTTAGAGTTTTGCAGCTTATCTTCAGATGATAACAAGATATCTATGTAAGAAATTAAAATTGCAGGAAAGCATTGAGATTCTTCTCAACTAGCCATCGAATCTGGACATATGGGAGATAATGTCTTACTGTAGTGAAGATACTTATCATACAATTTCATAAAGAATAAATTTTAAAGAAGAATGACGTAAATGGAAAAAAATAAAGTAATCATGACAAAAATGATTTAACAACTTTAGAATTTATTTTATAATGCAATGAGTTTAGAATTGAGCCAAAAGCCATGCAGCTTGTATCTGCGTTACTTATATTTGTGATTTTGCATAATGAAAATAATCTTAGCCTTTGAGTTTGTACCATCTTTAGTACATAACCTTTAAAATTTCATGGAATCATGACAAAAAGCAATAACATCAATAAATACAGCTAACACTGTCTCCTTTATTCCAATCTGGAGGTTTTTCCTTCATCTTCCTCTTAAGGAAAAAAACACCCCAAATTGTAGTACTTTTGGCTTAATTATACCAAATTCATGAGGTGAAATTAGAAATGTCTATTATTTGGTGACTAGGATTGCAAAGAAATCCAGGTCACTTTATTTAGGACAAAATCCCTTTGGAAGAAAACTATATTTCCTCAACATTCACATAGTCTATTTTCAGCAAATAATCTCCAGTGAATATTTTAGGCTCTGTGTATTATAACAGGGATCTCTGTGAGTATGTGTATAGTAATTTGAAGTTATTAAGACAGCAATTTTGAAGAATAACAATTCATTATTCTCCCCACTTGTTAAACCAAGTTAGCTCTTCTAATGCGTTCTCATGTAACATTTCTATGTATTTTAAGTGTCAAGAGGTATGGCTATAAAACTATCATACTGACTTTTTAAATGAATAAGTTGTGATTTATTTCAACTGTTATCATTTGTGTTAAATGTATTTTTGTTTTCTATACAAGGAATATGGGAGGTTATTCATTCACCCCAAAATGTTTGGGAAATTTTATTCTGAACTTTCTTTCAGAGATAGTTTATAAGTCATAAAAACAAAGCAATTTTGTTACTTCATGAAAATATCAGATATTTTATTTACAACAGCGATAAAACCTATAAAAACCTAAAGAACAAAATTTAATGAGGAAGTTATTGAAACTGTGTAAAAATTATGAAAATGGTTATTATACTTAGATATCTTCTACGATTTTCAAATACCTTTGACTATTTCAAAAAATCATTCCTGCTCTCATTAGTCAATAGTCTATCAGCAAATATTTGTATGGAAAGTTTCATGATTCATAAAATATCATTAATAGATATTTTCATGGAAATATTACAGATTGTTTCTAATTTTACAATTAGAATTATCTGTGTCAAATTCTCCTGACTAAATATTTTTCTTATTTCTATTAATATGCTGGTGACCATCTTTTTATATACCTTTTAAGGCTCCCACATGCACACACATGTATATAACAAAATTTTATATAAAGGGCTCATGGCATATATTATATTTTTATCAGAAACTTTTTTTATGGAGGATGAAACAGCTCTCTCTCCTCTGCTTCCCCTATTCCTATCACTACACTACTCCTGCACAAGAAACTAATGTTAGTAATGTAGTATATTATTCCACATTTTTATCCATGCTTACATTATCACATTTATCATATTTGTAAACAAAACAAAATTATAATAATGGGACTATATAATTTAAACTTCTTTATATTTTTATTTCTTCATTTAATAATGCATTGAGAAAACTATCCCATTGTTAACTGGTATAGCTCAAATCCACTTTTTAAAATACCTGAATAATATTTCATAGTCTGACTGTACCATAATTTATTTAACCATTTTATAGTTCATGAGTGTTTTTTTGTTGTTGTTTCCAGGATTTGCCCTCATAACCAATGGTTTATTAGGCATCCTGTGTTTTATTCTTGTGTACGGGTGATATTATTTCTATAATATATATCCAGAAGCAAGATTGTTAGATCAAAGGTTATATACATTTTTAATTTCAACAGATAATATCAAATGCAAAGGGCTGTTACAATTTACATTTTCACATTTACATTAGAGTGCGATTCTTTTCTCACTTTCCTGTATCACTTTGCTTATCTGACAAGCAAAAATGACCCTTCAATTTTAAAAATCTTCCTAGTTATTAAAGGTTGGGTACTGTTTCATATATTTATTAGTTATGTTGACTTGTTCTTCTGTAAACATGTCTGTTCATTTTTTTTGCCCATTTATTCATTGGATTCTCTAACTTGTTTTCACTAAGTTGTGAGGGGGCATGTGTATATGTGTTTCATGAGCATTAACCCTCTATGCAAATTATGTTACAGATATTTTCCCAACATATTTTTGTCCTTTCCCTTTGCTTATGGATTCTTCTGCTTTGTAAAGAAAAAAAATGTAGTTATGCCTATATTTAATTATTAGCTATTTCTTTCACATGTAATGATTTTGCATTTGTATCTCTTTCCCATGCAATGGCCTTCCACATGGTTTTAATATTGCCTCTAAGTAGTGGCAGAATATGCCAGTCCAATATATGTCACGATGGCATATAGATTATTTTGAGCTAAAGACACTTATAAGAACATCAGATGGAAGAAAGAAATACTAATCTCCCCTTTTCTTCCTGAAAAGAGGAAATAAAAACTCTCATGTAAAAGATGCCTTCCCTGTACCACAAGTAAAGAAACATTCTTTGATGAGGAGTAATGTCTAAGTGCATTCTGTACAAGCAGAAGTCTTTAAAATAATTTTTGTCTTTCTTTTGTCTCC